GGGCTCCTCGGCCCGGCTTCCCCCCACACCCCCGAGCCAAACTGCATCTCGGCGGGAGCCGCCAGGACCCTGCTGATCCTCGACGGCTTGGATGAGTTCAAGACTCCTTTGGATTTTTCCAACACGGTAGTATGCACCGATCCCAAAAAGGAGATCCAAGTGGACAACCTGATCACCAACATTATACGTGGCAACCTGCTGCAGGAGGCTTCTGTCTGGGTCACGTCGCGGCCAACAGCAGCCAGCCAAATCCCCGGCGGGCTTGTTGACCGGATGACAGAAATACGAGGTTTCAGAGCTGCGGAGATGAAGGACTTCTTGGATGAGATGTTCCTTGACAACAGAGACCTATCCGGCCAAGTCCTGCATCACATCAGGGCTAACAGGTCATTACACGTCATGTGCACCGTTCCTGGCTTTTGCTGGATTTCTGGCTCCTCAATTGGTTATTACCTAAAAAATAGCACTGATCAATCCCAAGAAACAACCGTCGCCCCCAAGACCCTATCAGAAATCTACTCCTATTATTTTAAAATGGCTCTGAGCAGTGACTGGCCGGAAAAGCCAAGAGAAACACTCAGGATCGAGCAGGCTGTGAACAACAGCAAGAAGATAGTGGGCAGCCTGGGGAGACTGGCCTTCTACGGGCTGCTCAAAAAGAAATACGTGTTTTACGAGCAGGACATGAAGGCGTACGGCATCGACCTTTCCTTGCTGCAGAGCAGCTTGTGCAGTCGACTCCTACTCAAAGAAGAGATGCAGTCCTTCACAGCCTACTACTTCTTCCACTTAACTATACAGGAGTTTCTAGCGGCTATTTATTATTACACGGCTGCAAAGCGGGCAATATTCGACCTCTTCACGGAAAGCGGGATGTCCTGGCCCAAGTTGGGTTTCCTCAACCACTTCAAGAGTGCTGTTCAGAGGTCGCTGCAGGCAGAGGACAGGCAGCTGGACATCTTTGTGCGTTTTCTCTCTGGGCTCCTCTCCCCGCAGGTGAACAAACTGCTCTCTGGGTGGCTGCTGGTGAAGGATGAGCACAACAGCTTCAGGAGCCAAGCGATCAGCTTCCTCCAGGGCTGCCTGAACACCGACTACGTCATCTCCTCGCGGGCAGTGAACACCATGCACTGCCTGCATGAAATTCAGCACACGGAGATCGCTAAGACTGTGGAAGAAGCAATGAAGAACGAGAGCTTGTCTGGGATGCTCACCCCCGTGAACTGCTCTGCCCTGGCTTATCTCCTGCAGGTCTCTGATGTCTGCATGGAGGAGACGAACCTCTCCAACTGCCTCACCTACAACGTCTGTAAGAGCCTGCTCTCCCAGCTCCTTTTCTGCCACAACCTCAGGTGAGTCCTGGTCGGATTCCACCGGGAGAAGCAAGCAGGAACGCTGGGCTGTGACTCAAAATCCTGCATGTCAATGGGAGACGTGGGCCCACCAACACTGTCCAGCAGCAGAGAGCTGCCCTGGGGATGGCACTGGGTCACCTCTGCTTCTGCGCTTGAGTTTCTTCATCTGTGATGGGCGGATGTCATGGGAGGGTCGTCCTTCCTCCACTTTGTTCTCCAAATGCTTGCTTTTGCTCTTTCCTTGTATCTTCTGCAGGCTGGACAATAACCAGTTTAAGGACAATGTGATGGAGCTGCTGGGCAGTGTGCTGAGTGTGAAGGACTGCCAGATCCAGAAGCTCAGGTAGGACCTGGCCCAGGGCAGACAGGCTGTTCCTGGGGATGCAGAGCGGAGCTGGGGGCACCTCAAAACCAGGGTGAGGGTCCTCCAGGAACGTCTCTCCCACGGGCTCCCCAGGGTGCCTAGTGACAAGGACAACCCCCCACGATCTCCTGCACCCAGGCACGGTGACCTGACCCGCTGTGTCCTTGTGGTGGCTGGGCAGGCTGTCTTGCTCAGCCTTCCTGGGACTGCCGCCTCCTCGCTGTTCCTAAAAATTTGTGTAGAAATTCATGGGTTATCCCAACAAAGTGTTTCCCAAGGTCACAGCTGTTTGCTGGGCACCTGAGGCTCCACACGGAGCATCTGCTCCATGGAGGGGACGGGCTCCCGACCCCTGCGCAGGGAGATGCCTCACCCCAGACAGACAGGTCCCCACATTCCCCACCTCCCTGCCCTTCTTCATGGCTGCACAGAGTCCCCCATGCTGCAATCTGAGCTCCCTTTTCACAACATGAGTGAATTTTAAGTCTAGAAACCCCCCTTCCACCCTGTCCTTGCAACCCCCTGCGTGGTGTCCACCCCAGGAGAGCAGACCTCAGAGCATCCACCACTTCGCATGGTTGTACCACAAACCAAACACTCCCCATGGCTCACCGGTCCCAGCTGCGTCCTGGGACACGCCAGGGGCTGTGAAAGCCTCTTTCTCCCCCCGAAAAACACCCAATTTTTCTTTTTCTGGGCAGCTTGGCAGAAAATCAGATCAGCAATAAGGGAGCCAAAGCACTGGCCAGGTCATTGATGGTGAACAGGAGCCTGACGACACTGGAGTAAGTGTTCCCCCTTTACCAGCTCCTGCCACGCACGCGTTCCCCACCGGGAACCATTCCCATGGCCGCAGCGGGGCCGGATCCCACCCGGCCTGACCGAGCTGGGGAAGGTCTCCAGCCCCAAAAGCCACCACCGCTCCAGAGGTGAACGTAACTCTTGCGAGCTGCCGGCCTGATGTCCCACCTCAGCAGTGCCTGAGATTGTGCCACGTGGAGGCATTTGGCTTATGCTGGCCATGTGCCACTCTGGCTTTGCTAACCTTGGCTTTTCTGCCCGTCTCGCCCCAGCCTGCGGAGCAACTCCATCGGCCCCACCGGAGCAAAAGCACTGGCTGATGCACTGAAAAAAAATCAAATCCTGCTCTCCCTGAAGTAAGTCTCAACTTCTGCAGCACCTCCAGGAGCAGATCCCCAGGACAAGCCCCCTCCTGCCCTCTCCTGTCCCATTGAGGTTTTTCCCACCTGAAGGTCCAGCAGGTGGGGAGACCCTGGGCACAACCTGCTTTCGTTGTGCCGGGCAGCGAGCACGAGTGCAGCCAGCAGAGGCCCGGTGACCGGGGCAGCCCTGGGCCAGAGATTTTGGGACCCTCCTGCCTCTCAGCTTCAGTGGGTTGAGGTTGAGGCTGAGGCTGAGGTCCAGGTCCAGGTCCAGGTCCATCCCTCACGTGGGAGCTCACAGGGTGCTGGCGCACAGAAGGAGGCATCTCCCATGGGAAAGGAGGGAGGGAGACCCCCAGGCAGGGATGCTCGGGGGCCAGACACCCTTCTCACACCAGGGACGGGGGCAAGGAAACTCCAGGGCAGGCAACCACCGCCCTGCATGGCCCCTTGGCCCACTGCAGTGGCTGCCGTGCACAGCTTCGCTCTGCTCTCCTTGCAGCCTGCAGCACAACGCCATCAAGGAGGACGGTGCCACCTTCCTGGCCGAGGCCCTGTTGACCAACCACAGGCTGATGACCCTGCAGTGAGTGACCGGGACCCTGCTGTCCTCCCTCCCAGCCACCCAGCAGACCAAGGTGCCACTGATGGGGACGTGGCACCTGATATTCACGGGTGCCTTCCTCATCTTTGCAGCCTGCAGAAAAACGCCATCGGAGCTCACGGTGCCAGGAAAATAGCAGAGGCCCTGAAGCAGAACTGCAGCCTGAAGGAGCTGATGTAAGAGCAGCACGAGGCGGAGGGATGGCAACGCCGGCGCCGTGTCTCCCGGGATCTGCGGGCAGGAGCGGTGGGCAGGGGGCTGGGCCGTGCCGCGCGGGCAGGACGGACCCTGCTAGCTTTGCCCAAGGAGGCTGGCGTGGGCGGAGGGGAGCAAGGATGGCAGCGCTGCTGTCGGACCCTGTGGTTATCGCTGGAGCAGAAAGAGCCCGGGGGAGATGAATCCTTTGCCAGCAGATCTAAGCTGGTTGCAGCGCGGCTGCCGGTAACACCTGCTCTTCCTCTTGTGTCTTAGACTCTCCAGCAACTCGGTAGGAGACAACGGCTCGGTTGCCTTGGCCGAAGCTCTGAAGGTGAACCACAGTCTGCAAAGCCTTGAGTAAGTCTCCCCCCTCCACGCCTGGTCTCCTGCTTGCTCAACAGAGCCCAGTCCAGCCTCCTCACTCCACCAGCATCTTCCACCCTCTCCAGGCTCCTTCCCCTGCCCCCAGAGCCCCTCGTATCATCCCAGATCCTCCCATCTCTTCCACTCCACGTCCCCTGGAGCGGCACGGGGCCAGGCATGCTCCCTGCAGGCTGGAGCACCATGCAGCACCCCCAGGCAGCGCCGGCAGCAGCCGGGCTGGCCCTGCCTTCACCAAGGGAGCACTGGAGGAGTTAATCCTCAACCCAGATGATGATTTTTTTTCTGCTTTTGGAGGATACTAGCAGCTTCGGGCCTTCTCTGTCTCGCAAATGGGATGGGAAATGGCTAATGAGGAAGGTAACAGGCTGGGGCCTGGCAGAGTCAGGGTGGGATGGTGCAACCTTCATCCCCCTTGGGAATGGCAGCCAGAGAGGACCGTTCCTCTTGCCTGGCCGGAGCAGAGGGCTGATGGCTCCTGCAGACAAGCTGCTGTGCCCTGGGTTCGTCACCGGCTTCCCACGGTGTGACAAGGACCCAAAGATGCAGGATCGCATCCCCAGCTGAGCCGGCAGCCACGGCGGCAGCTGGCTGGGGACACGGCTGCCCCGAAGTGCCGGCAAACCCCGACACCTCTGCTTGGTGGGGCCACTGCTGCTGTGGTGAGCAGGAGATGCTGATCCCGGCCTGGCTGCTCCTGAAGTTGGTCCTTTAGCCTTGGCTCCCCCCTGTTTCCCACAGCTGGGAGATGCCCATTTCTCAGTGAAATGGGCAAATGGGCACTTTTCACCCCAAACCCGACCCCGCAGCCTCCCTGTGATGCCAAGACTGGCCCATCCTCACGCCTTTCCCCGTTTGTCTCAGTCTCCAGAGCAACTCCATCAGCAGCACTGGGGTCACCGCGCTGACAGCAGCTCTCTGCTCCAACAAGGGACTCATCAACCTCAAGTAAGTGACGGTCCCTCCGGCCACCCTGGCCAAAAGCTGCTGCCGGGACACGGGATGCGAGAACTTCTCCTTGTGCCTGGTTGTTCCCACAGTGCTCTGGGGTGCTGAAAGCAGCCTCTGTCCCTCCTCTGGCTGCGAGCATCTTCTCTCCATCGTTAGCTTTCTCCCCTTGGGAGATATCGGTTGAATGAAACGATGGCAGATGGGATGGGAGGCTGGGAAAAAGCTCCAGTGGTATTGGTGCTCACAGCTGTAGGATGTACAGGGAATGGGGATGCAGGGAACGGAGATGCAGATGCCAATGGGGATGCAGGGAATGAAGATGCAGGGAATGGAGATGCAGATGCCGATGGGGATGCAGATGCTGATGGGGATGCAGGGAATGGAGATGCAGATGCCAAAGGGGATTACAGGGAATGGGGATGCAGGGAACGGAGATGAAGCCGATGGGGATGCAGATGCCGATGGGGATGCAGGGAATGGAGATGCAGATGCCGATGGGGATGCAAGTCAGACAGGCTGCCCCTTCCAATAGATGGTCTCAGCCCCGTGTCTTTCCCCAGCCTGCGGGAGAACTCCATCAGCAAGGAGGGGGGCCCCGCCATCGCCCACGCCCTGCGGACCAACAGCACCCTCAGGAAGCTGGAGTAAGTCCCACGGGCCCCAGGAGGGCACCCACGCTGCTGCGCAGTGTCGCTGGAGTTGTCCCAAACTCTGTGTGCCTGACTTGCGTCCTCTGTCCCCTGCCTCTAGCTTAGCGGCGAACCTGCTGCACGATGAAGGCGGCAAGGCCATCGCTTTAGCGATGAAAGAGAACCGGGCGCTCATGTCCCTCCAGTGAGTTTCCCCTTGGACCTGGCTGGTTTTGAAGCCCCTTGCATGGACGCGGGGCAGGGACACTGCTCGTGGGAGATGAGCCGGGTGGGTGCTGAGCCCGCAGGGATCGGGGCGTCCTCACAGCCCCGAACTTCACCTCCTGTTCGCAGCTTGCAGTGGAACTTCATCCAGGCAAAAGCTGCTACGGCCCTGGCACAAGCACTACGGTCCAACGGCAGCCTGGCCAGCCTCGAGTAAGTGGGGACACGGGTGGGCAGGTCCTGGGCAGCGTCTTCCTACTGGGACCTGCCCAAGGTCTCTGCCCTCACGCTGCTCCAGGGGAGGTGGCTTCGCCTGCTGCCTCCTCCAGTCCATCCTGTGTCCCCATCTCATGTCCCTGGCTGGGGATGGTGGCCCGGGGGCCCCCCAAGCCATTTGGGAAAGCCCAGCACACTGCACCCTGTGCCCGCTGCCCCTCGCTGTCCGTCTCCCTGCTCCTGGGTGCCCGGGCCGTGGGCAGACGCAGCACTTGCGTGTCTTAGCTTGCAGGAGAACGCCATTGGAGACGAGGGAATGGCCGCCCTCTCCGCTGCGCTGAAGGTCAACACAACCCTGGCAGATCTCCAGTGAGTATCCAGGCTGCGGCGGGGCCCTGGCATTGCAGCCTGTCTAATTAGCTTCTCTAATTAGCTTCTCTAATTAGCACACCATGGTCACTTCACGACATGCACCGAAGGGTCCTTGTTCTCTTGCAGCCTGCAGGTGGCTTCAGTTGGTGCGGCTGGTGCCCAAGCCCTGGCAGAAGCCTTGGTGGTCAACAAGAGCCTGAAGATCCTGGAGTAAGTGCTTGGTGGGGCCACCAAGTCCCCATGGCTGCGACACTGCTCCCTGGGGGTGTCTGAGACCCTTGCATCGTGTCCTACCAGACTTGGCTTGCCTGTCTCTTGACTCGCTGGTGTAGGGCCACCTCTCCTACCTCCTCCTCTTGCCCATGGAGAGCACGGGGCCGTCCCGGGCTGTCCTTCCTCACCGCCTGCCTTCCTCTGCAGCTTGCGGGGAAACTCCATCGGCATGGCAGGGGCCAAGGCGATGGCCAACGCGCTGAAGGTGAACCGCAGCCTCCGCCGGCTCAAGTAAGTACCCTGCTCCCCGGGGCGGGAACCAAAAAGAGCCTTTCCAGGCCTTCCTGGAGGGAGCAGCGAGGGGAAGGCCAGGCCAGCAGCTCTCAATGGGACAAACCCCCTGAGCTGGTGGCTTTTCCCAACTCCCACGCACATGGCCGGTGCTTTCTGACCCTCCCGCTTCCCACAGCCTGCAGGAAAACTCCCTGGGCATGGACGGAGCCATCTGCATCGCCACTGCTCTGAAGGGCAACCACGGCCTCACCTATGTGAAGTAAGTGGCTGCTGAGGTGGACGGTAAGGCAGGGACGGGGAGACCACGGGAACCAGCAAGGGACCTTCCCCACCACTGGCACTGCCTGTGCCCGGCTGCCCTACAGGGACCTCCCCAACGGGGCAGGGGACAAGGGCGCCCTGTGCTCCTCCCGGCGGGACAGCCACCATCCCTGCACAGCTCCAGGCCCTGCAGCTCCTCTCTGGGGATGCCCCTGGGGTGAAGAACCACCCCAAAAGCCAAATACTCTGCAAAATATCACAGGGACAGGCTGGCTCAGCCCCTCCAGCTCCCTGGGGGCTTCCTCCAGCTTCTCACTTCGCTGCCTCTGGGCTCTCAAACCCGGAGTCCCCTGTGACTGGGGTCCCAGCAAAGGCTCCTGGATGGTGCAGGGAGGGCGCAGATGATGCTGGCACAAAGCTGGGGAGCATCTCTCGTACCCACCAAGGATCCTGCTCCGCCTTGTGTCCAAGCCTGAACTCCTCTTCTCTTTGCTCCCAGCCTGCAGGGGAACTGCATCGGACAGTCGGGAGCCAAGATGATCTCTGACGCTATCCGGACAAACTCACCCAACTGTGTCGTGGACGTGTGAGGGTGCCTGGCCGCAGCAAGGAGGTGGCCTGGTGGGTCCCTTTTTGGCCAGCGTGCCTCCGCAGGGAGCTGCTCGGCCCTTCGCCCGCCCGTCCCAGGGAGGAGAACTGGGGCAAGGAGAGCTCCTGAGCTCCCCAGCACAGCCCAGGAGGACCTGGGGCCCCCGGATCAGCAGCACAGGAGGGTCAAGACTCGCTAGCGTTGAAAGCTGAGGGATGTGCGACCATGTGCCTGCTCATCCAGGCCCTGGGGGAGCTTCAAGGAATGGGTGAAATGCAAAAAGGAGGGAGGAGAGGGCAGATCCCACATACCAGCCCTTCTTCTTTTCGTGGGTGACTTCCCTGCCGCCGCCGGCGGCAGCAGCCCCCTCCCGTGATCTCCCCGGGGTTACAGCGCTGTGCTCAGACCCTGCCCCAGACCGGGCGCATCCTGACCACCCCGCAGCTCTGCTCTCGTCCCAGCCCGAGTCGCTGCGGGCGAATGTCACTGCAGCCCGGCCGGGGCTCCAGGGCTCTGCTCCCAGCGACAACTCTTCTCCCTGCGCCAGCTCTTCTCCCTCTAGTTCTGGCAGGGATCCCGGGAGAAGTAGGTGAAACACGGGCAGGATTCACAGCAGCCCCTTCTCACCTGGCTACGTACAGCTCAGTCCTGCAGGCTCCCCTTGAAATCCCAGCGAGAGATGAGGGGTTTGCAGCCTCCTGGCTCAGATGAGAGCAGTGCTTTGGACTGGGGCACTTCAGAGCAGGGTCCTAGGCAGCGAGCGCAGCCTCTGTGTTCGCCATGCCCTCAATAACAGGTTGGTGCTGGCCGAGCGTGACTGAAGCATTTTGTTAGTGCTGTTCTCTATCAATGCCTCTCGGAAGAGACAGGCATCCCAAGGCGCAGGAGTGGAACCATCTAGAAAGACCTCGGGAAATAAAGAGCCCTGAGGATAACGGGAGGAGGAGCGGGAGGGTGGACGTAAGAGGAACAGCCCTGCGCAAGGATGGGCCGTCTTCAGCACGCGCGTCTCGGTGCTGCACCAGGACTGCCTGGTGACGTCCTGCCTCTCGAGTTGAGGCTGGGCTTCGTGGGTCTCCTGCTGTTGTCATCGGTGACAGGCTGTGTGACCGTGGGATGCGTCTTCCCGACGTCCCAGCTGCAGGCAGGGTCCTCCCCTGGCCGCCTTTCGGGCAGGCAGCTGCCAAAGGCAGAGGTGCCAGGCGATGCCCTCCTGTGTGTGGCAGAGACCCGGTGACTCTCCAGAAGGTGCCAGGTTTGCAGGTGGACCAGTAGCCAAACTACGCAGCCCCCCGAGAGCCCCCCTCCAGCCACTGTCCCCTCTCCACCCCAGCCAGGGCCCACCCTGAGCCACGCCGCTGCTGCGGCCAGGGCAGCGAGCAACTGCTTCAGGGACCTCTGTGGGCTGATCCCGGAGACACGCTGGGCTGAGCCATGCGATACGTACGTACTTGGAAATAAATCAGTTCTTAGCTGAGAAGATGCCTTGTGCTGCCGTCCTCTCTCGGCTGTGGATCATTACGTGTGGCATTCGGGGTGCACCGTGCTCCGCTGCCCCGGCTGGAGACCCCGCACCCCGTACTGGTGCGACACGAGGGCTTTTCCATGAGGTGTCAGGGGCTGGCGCGCGCTCTCCAAAACGGTACAGTGATGCTGAGGGACTCAAGTCCTGCCTCTTTCACCGGTATTTCCCGGCAGATGGAAGCTCAGGTCCAGCTCTGCCCAAAGCCTGAGCTGAAACGTTACCTGAAACGCCAACGGAGAGAGCGATCCACAACCCTGAGACAGCTCCCGTGCCCTGCAGCTGCAGGAAACAGGGGGTTAACAACAATTTGAAATATATTTAATCAATCTGTCCGCATATGCGCATACCTAGCGATACGCAAACACTTCCGAACCGAAAGAGTCAAGCGCTCAGAGGGTGCCTTTCCACCGGCACCGGGGGCGGCTGCTAACCACGCTGCTCTTCAAGCCTGGTGCGAGAAGGCCACCCTAAAACCTGGCCGGCTGCGCCAAAAGGCCGCCGAAAGGCCAGGCGGCAGCGCTGCCTGAAGAGACCCTGGTTCTGTGAGCACAAGGTATTAAATCGGCTTTCCATTTGGGCCTACGATATAGGAAATAACATAGGAAACTGTAACTCTGAAACTGCAGCCCAGACGGGGAGACTGGTCCCAGTCTCGTGGGAAATCTCTCTCACGGGTCGGATGTAGCGCAGCACACAGGACCAGAACAGATTCCCTGCGTCACACGGAAAAATGTTTTTGGAACAGGTCCTAAAATCGGGACGTTCTCGTCCCTTGGGAGCGGGATGTGGCGAGCACGCACGCTTTCTCGCTGGCGGTCACGGGACGGCTCCGATGGCTTCGCAGCAGGCGTCTAGCACCAAGAACACCATCTGCGTCTGCCTTCTTTGAAGCGAGGTGCAAAATGCCAATTAACTCTGCAGGGTGCAAAGAGGTGTCCTAAGCGTCAGCCGGCTCGGCTCGAGCCCGTACGATCGCGTGCGTTTCAGCACATCGCTGCACCCACGTATCTCCCGTTCCTACACAAAAACTGTATTTACCAGTGAACTTGTGTCCCGCCTTGACGTGACATTTCGAGCTCCGAGCTCTGCTGATGGGGTGTGAAGGTTCCACCCCTGGGGCCAGAGACACGGAGAGATGAAAAAGCTCTTAATTTTTCACGTAACTCACGTGTATTCCTTCCTTCAGCACAAAAATGGAGGGGTCGGCCCCAACTCCGGACTTCAGATGGAGGGGAAAGCAAAGTAATTTGGTGATGTAAAAAAAGGGAAGGGCAGGAAAACCGCCTGGGCTCTTGTCTGCCCTGATGAACACACGCCAAAACGAACTCCTCTAATCAAGCACTGATTTCTGCTCCTGTGAAGACAAATTGTGACGCTGAAGCAGAGCAAAAAGTAAAGAGGCAACGCACTGGGCAAACTCCAGCTTTTGCGTTCTCCTGAATACACTTTCGCTGATGGCGTCAGCATAACTCGCTGAACAAAAACCCGGCTTTCGGTCCATTTGAGTGCTGAAATCTCAGTCTGCCCCAGAAGTACCAGTATTATTAAAGGGCTAATTTCATACGGATTTAGTTGCGGTGCCGTCTCGCACGGCTGCTCTCGGAACACTCAAGCGGAGCCCACTGAAGTCTGAGAACAATTCCCACCGACGCAGCTGGAATACTAAGAGACGCTGCGCCGAAGGCGGCGTTTGAGGACCCCTTCACCAGTTCCCCGCTCCCTCAGTGCAACTGGTGCTGCTCTTCGTGGAGGCAAGCCTTTGATTAAGTAAAGGATATGTTTAGGATAAATAGATTTAAGCCAGATTTAAAATCAATTTAAGTGTGTTCCCAGAGCAGCTTTTCATCCGGTTTTATTAAGCCAAAAAAATCTGTTTGGACATAACAAAACGCAGGGAAATCAAGCACGCGATGCTCACTGGAGTGCGACTTTTGGCACTGCAGCGCATGAGGGCCAGTTCTAATGCAATTATGGAAATAACCACACTCCACATTACCGTGATTCTCCTCATTACGGATAAACTGCTCATGCTTTGAGAGTCACAAGACCGGCAATCCAAGTTTAATTTTCAAGTTTAATGAACATTATTTACTGACTCCTGAATTCATGCTGACAAGCGCTTTTCAAATGGCAGCTCCTGGCCTGCGTGCTCTCCAAATTGATGTTTCCAGATGCCTCCTGGTCCTGCTACTAAAGGGTCAGAAGTCATTATCGCTTTCCTCTAGCAGCTCTGGCTTTCTTGCTCGGTGACTGGATTTGCTTGGGGAGATTTCCATGCTGTCATCTTCCATATCATCCTCCTCCTCATCTTCATCCAGGTCAATCTCGCTATCCCCCGAGTCCTCCTGCAGGAAAGCAAAGAGAATTCATGACCGGTTCAGTTCTCAGATGGCAAGGCATCTTGGCCAACTCAAAAGTAAAGGCTGGCACCGCTGGCTGAGGTTACGTCGCGTCCTCCCCTGCGCTCTGTGCAGTCGCACACCTGGGGGCTACGGGGCTTGGTTGCACTGGGATGGATCCAGATTTGGACTTGCTCCGGGGAGGAGCAGCAGATTCTACAAGAGGTTTTGTTCCAGCTCAGGCTGCTGTGCTGCTGGCCTTCCAAAATAATGAAAAGCCAGAGCTCAGCTGCTTCTGGGAGCTAACGGCCCACGGGGCTTTCACCAGCAGCTCCCCACTTTGCTAAGCAGTGGCTGCTCCGTTCAGTTTATTGCGAACCTCTTTCCCCGCTCCGCGGGGCTGACAAAACCAAACTCCCTGACTTCTCCTGAATTTGTGGTATTAAAAACCTTGCAGGTGTTTAACTTTAAAGCGATACCTATTGCGAGACCAAAGAATGAAGGCGTAGTGGAAGAAAATGAACGGCAGGAGAGAAACCCACCTGCGCCTTGGTGATGATCCTGCGCGTGCCTGGCCGTGCTGGGGCAGATCTCCCCTTGGAGAACCAGAGTGGAAAGAACAGGAGAGGCAGAGCAGGCAAAAAAAAAAAAAAAAAGTACAAGAACATAAAAAGAAAACAGAAAGTAACCAGAATGGGAGCAGGGGAGAAGGCGGCAAAGCCAGGCAGAGCTCAGGCATCGTGTACCACACCAGCAAGTGACAGGGGCTGGGCGTGCAGCTGCCGGCTCTTGGGCAGGCTGAAGCCTGCTCTCTTCTCAACTCCATAACCCAATTAACTCTCCGAGGGGTTCAAACCAGCCTCACTGCTTTCCTTCCCTGACCTCAGACGCATAGAGGCCTGCCAGGGTCCCTAAGCAAGCCTCTCAGCCCTGGTGCCTGCTGAGATGGGGTATTAAGAGGGCAGAGCCATGAGGCAACCAAAGTGGCTGCAGCTGAGGACAATACAAGGCTGAAGGCCTTGGCTTTCCACACCTGGATGTGCTGGGGTTGTGCCAACAGGGAGACATGGGAGAAAGCTGTGAACGGGCAAGTCCAAGGGAAGGAGAAATTGCAGAGAATGACTATCCAAAGCTGGCAAGAACATGGTCAAGGACAATCAGGCCGCACCGTGACTAAGGCCACAACATCCTCACCTACAGCACTGGCATTCCTGACCCTACCCAGAAATGTTTCTGAATGCCAATGGCATAAATCATTCCCCAGAAGGCAACAAACAGCCTTAACCATATTCAATCTGGCTGAAGCAAACAGCAGAGCAAGTTCCTTTCCAGAGAAAAGGTGAGGATGGGTGGAAAGAAGGGCAGCTCGTCCCTCTCCAGCAAGAGACTTAACTCCCTCATCACTATAGTGCCTCCAGGTCTCTGCAATGAACATTTAAGAGCAGCGGTATCTTCTCTCTTCTGGCCCTGCCTGCAGGAGAAACAGAATCATAGAATCACAGAATCGTTAAGGTTGGAGAGGACCTCTGAGATCATCGAGTCCAACTGCTACCCTAACTGCCAGGCCACCTCTAAACCCTGTCCCTAAGCACCACATCCACACGGTTTGAACACTTCCAGGGACTGTGATTGCACCCCTGCCCTGGGCAGCCTGGGCCAGGGCCTGACCGCTCTCTCCGGGAAGAAGTTTTTCCTAATATCCAATCTAATAATAAGGGGAGACCTTATTGCTCTCTACAACTGCCTGAAAGGAGGTTGTAGCAAGGTGGGGGTCAGTCTCTTCCCCGCAGTAACAAGTGATAGGACAAGAGGGAACGGCCTCAAGCTGCGCCAGGGCAGGTTTGGGTTGGATATTAGGAAAAACTTCTTCCCCCAAAGGGCTGTCAGGCCCTGGCCCAGGCTGCCCAGGGCAGGGGCTGAGTCCCCATCCCTGGGGGGATTTAAAAGCCGGGGAG